GAAAAAAAGATGAGGCCCAAAGAAAAGGCATCATACATTTCTATTCTATTTTTGATAGTGTTGCAAATGACATTACTGATATTTGAAAATAAAACAATACAAAAAATGTCAATGTTACAACATTTATTTTTTTTACTTGTTACAGTGTAATTACACATTTAAGTACTAAGTAATATTAATGTACATTTAATTAACATGTAATCCCTAGGGTGCCCACATACTTTTAGCGATATAAGTGTATTAGTATGTTAGAGCTATTTACAACACGAGTTATTAAAGTACGTACGACTAAAGACAATACAATACAGTTACAGTATCGTTTACGAACGACACAACGAACTCAAAATACTGTGTAATCTGGACAATTAATAAGCAAACGCGTCATGCTCATTCATTCATAAATGAGCCTTGATTGTGAAAAGACAATACTGTAGACCCGTAGGTGAACCCCCTGGCATTGATTCATCCAATCGTCACAACATAGTGTTTCAAACTCACATGGAACGGGTCGTATTGATCGACAAATCTTATCTTGCGGACGCCGAAAAGTGATGTGACGCTCGGCACCGAGGCTTCGAAACTTGTATTAAAAAAAAAGAAAAGAAAAGAAATATCTCTATCACTGTACCGGAGCTTGATTCATTTTGCCATAACCACGTGATCTGTGACGTCCGAAGCTTCGTTTTCGCACACAACCACGTGACTGCTTCAGGTTTCCAGTGACATTCTTTGATAAGAATAAATCATAAAACGAATAAAACTTAACATGTGTAGTTTTGTGCATGTACAGTTTGTATTACTCCCCACTTCACAAACACTTCAACTGACCATTCCACGATAATGGCTCCCGAGATGGTTTTGCCTGTAACTTTAAGTGTAGTAAGTTATTAAACTCTCAAATTTTCATAAACAAGCTCTAGAATCCTGGAAGATTGCTTTTAAACATAATTTCTCCCCGCACACGTGTATTATTTGGAATAATGAAAATATAGTGTCTGGTGGTGGTAAATAACTTTTTTTAATTGAATGGGAATCAAATTGATCCAGGATTGTTAAGTTCTTCGAACTTGTAACCAGCAATCACTTCAACTGAATTTCTAAAATCATGAATTATAACTGCAATGCGCTGTTACAGCAGTGAATTATCCTATATTACTTTATTTTATATATCATGCAGCCAGAGGCGGACAGTAACTAAGTACATTTACTTGAGTATTGTACTTATAAGTACACTTTTTGAGTATCGGTACTTTACTTGAGTATTATTTTTTCTGGGAACTTATGACTTTAACTTCACTACATTTGAAATACAAATATTGTACTTTTCACTCCACTACATTTCTATCAAGGTCCTCGAAGTAGAAAGTCGTTACTATGTATCAGCTTTGAAAGTCAGTGGGTGATTTTTTTCTTCTCTAAAACTTGACTTTCTTTTTTTCAGACAGTTTATCAGTAATCACTCTTGTAGGGCTACATGAAAGGATTTTCCAGCATTTTTTTAACACTGTTTTGAACACAACAATTCAATAATAAGTAGTTAATATTGTGGTATATATTAGACACAATATTGTCTGATTTTTGCAATCTTGATAACAACATTTTGAGCAATTATAGACCAATATCAAATCTTCCTTTTATAGGCAAGATTATTGAAAAGGTAGTTTTTAATCAGCTGAACAAATACTTAAACTCAAATGGATACCTGGACAATTTTCAATCTGGTTTCCGACCGCATCACAGCACAGAGACAGCTATATATATACACCTTGCTACGTGTACTGTGTTAGGCTAACCGAGACTTGTCATTTGCACTTATATATTGTTGCTCTTTTGTTAGTTTTGACAGCTTTTATTGTCCTCATTTGTAAGTCGCTTTGGATAAAAGCATCTGCTAAATGACGAAATAAATAAAGAAATAAAACTCATCTGTTTAGCTGTGCATTTATTGAATGTGCGATGTCCGAACTGATTGCACTGTATTTTATGTATGTATTATCATTTTCTATTTTTAACTGTCTTAAATTCATTTTAAATAAATTTTTAAATCATCTTCAAAGTTTTTAAATTCCTTGTTTTATTTATGTGATTATTATTATTTTTTTATGATTATTTTACTTTCATAAAATATTTATTTTACACAATTACCATTGTGTACGAAATGTGCTATATAAATAAACTTGCCTTGCCTAAATTGTGTACGTGAAAATATTACCTATAAAGCCACAGAAGAACTGTTGTGCATCTCCTAATAAAACACAATAGGTGTTGGACTTGAAGCAGCACTGCACAGACCATTCTGTGTGTGACATAAAAGTACCACAAGAGCAATTAGACAGCATTTTTAAATTTTTTTGTTTTAATGTCAAATATGTCTTGCTGCTTTGCTTTTTTGTTAAAGCAGTGTTGCTGTTGTAAAGTTATACAGCTACAGTTGTGTTGCTGGGTTTTAAAGCAGGTTTGATTTTTCTTTCTTTCTTATCACTCTGTATTTACAGGATTTCACTGTCCACTCTGTTCAAATGTGGTTGACTGACTACACATAGATCTGTGCACGCACTGTCAGAGCTGTGTGAGATCACTACCATCCTGCTTTTGTGAGGGTGTTAAATATTTATTGATTTATTTTTGTTTTGTTTTTTCCCCCATAGGTTTCATTCTAAAAGCTCTTTATTCCAAAGATACTACAAGCTAGTCAGTGTATTCAGTAGGTGTAATGTATTCTAAGTTGCTTCAGAAGTATTGCAAGTATTAGGCTACGTACAACAATAAAACAGTGCATTGACATAAAAAAAGGAAATTTACTTTAGCTACTTAAGTACTTATAAAAGCAAGTACTTCTGTACTTTTACTTAAGTAAAAATCTGTCTTTACAACTTTTACTTGTAATGGAGTAATATTTGACCAGCAGTATCTGTACTTTCACTCAAGTAATGGAGTTGAGTACTTTGTCCGCCTCTGCATGCAGCACAAACGTCCGTCTGTGTAAGAAACTATGTGCATATTTAAATGTCAAATCATCTCAGATGTATTAAGCAAGATACGAAGAACAGACCACAGAAATCTACCTTTGCAGTCAGACGTTGTTTTTGGTTTTATTGTTATTCCTGTTCTCATTTTTTCCTTGTTAAATCAGGTAAGAGCTGTACTTATAAATAGTTTAAGCATGTTAATCATCGTTTGGGCAGCGATGCAGGAAAGGGTCACAATATTTCCGGGTCCTTGACAATATAAATGATTTACCAGGGGCAAGTTCAAGCTCAAACCGGTGTGCACAATGGCCTTCTCAGCTGCCATAACTGCAACTCTTGCGTCATCAGAACAGGGTGTTCAACGCACCACCGTTTCCGTTTAAAGAATGTTTTGCACCGTTTTTGTCGGGGCTGAACGCAGCCCTGGTGAGCAGAAATCTTTAATTTGATAAGCACAAAAGCAAAAAATAAATAAATAAAATAAATTATATATATATATATATATATATATTTTTTTGTTTTGTTTGTTTTTTGTGTATTAATGCTTCATGCCATTCACTTCTGTTCAAGCTAAACGGCCTCTTGTTTTTGTCAGGTGACGTGGTGATACCTTTATGGGTGATACACAATTTTAAGCACAGCGCTCCCTCTACAGGACTGGCTTTGCCTTCGCAGAATCAAAAAGTACTCATTTTTTTCCCCCAGCAGCTTTTTTGATTACACATTTGATTCGTATAAGTCTACATTTCTGCAACATATAGCCTACGTACGTATATTCTCTTTGTTATAATGTACTATTTTTGGTACTAATTTTAATGTAGCCTATACTGTGCAATTTTTCTAGGCAGCATCAGTACTTTTTCTATAGGCCATTTTAATGAAAATCAAAGAATCATTTTATAATAATTCACTTTTTTAGAACTAATTTACAGCTAGGACACTGAAGGCGTTATCTTACACACAAACTATATAATTAAAGCATCTGCCCCAAAAAGACTAAACATCTTAAACAGTGTTTTTTTTAGCCCGTCGTAATTTTCCTTTTTTGCTGATAAACAGTGTTGGGGAAAGTTACCTTTAAAAGTAACGCATTACAATATTGCGTTACTCCATAAAAAGTAACTAGTTACGTTACGTAGTTACTTTTTATGGAAAGTAATGCGTTACGTTACTTTTGCGTTACTTTAAAATCTGGACAGGGCTTGCTTGTTTGTTTTTAAAATAAAAAAGTTATATTTTTGGCAAATATAAAAGCCTTTTCACACCAAAAGTGAAATGAATAAGCCTCAGGCTGAAGGGAAAGTAAATTTACGTCCGTACAGTAGAATGCAGAAGAAGACATTTCAACACACTTCAGCAATAAAAAAAGACACACAAATGTTTGTCTAGAGTAATTTTTGCTTATTAGTATGAACTGGATCATCGAAGGTCAGAAGCAAAGACATTGGTTAATAGAATGGGATTAAATACATAAAGGATATTTGTGTTGTTTAACATTTAATTATTGCAGGTTCGTGTCATATTCTGAGTTGCAATATTTTTATTAATTTTGAGGAATACTGAATGTGTGTTTTTTTTTTGTGTGAGTGAGATGAATTAATGCATATTCATATTTATTTTAGAACTACAGTAGCATCTTCTGATTTCTCTCAACATGGGGACAGGAGAGCTGTCAATCAATAATTGGAAAAAAAAGTAACTTGCGCTACTTATTTGAAAAAGTAACTCAGATATTCTCTTGTAAATTAAAAAGTAATGCGTTACTTTACTAGTTACTTTAAAAAAGTGATCTGATTACGTAACTCGCGTTACTTGTAATGCGTTACCCCCAAACTGCTGATAAAACTATTTTATATTGCATATCAGGTTATTTGCACTCATACACAGTAGTTGGCGATATGCACCTATGGCGTCTTGCCGATAACACCAGAAGAAAATAGGCCGCCGCCCATAAGACGCGTCAGAGCCGTGACGTTTGTTTGTGGAAATCGGGGAAATGTGGATTTCCTCCAGGTAATGTTTATCATCACGCAATGCTCTAGATTTGTCTTTACTTTGGGATTGAATTAGGATATATGTATATTGCGTCTCATATTTCTCTGCAGCAGATCTGAGGTAAGGCGAATTAATTTGATCCCATGATTCAGAGCAAAACACGGACACAGCCCGAATGATCAGCGGGAGATTTTGCTTGACAGATTTGTTTGCGATGAAAGCAAGCGTTGTCATCAAACAGTTGTGTATAAATAGGAATGCCTTGTACGTAATGTATTAGGTTTGAATGTGTAACTTATGCTTTATTCTAGCGATGTCGGATTCGTGAATGAATCATTCTTTTGAGTCGGATCTTTTTTGATGACTTGGTTAAAAACCCGATTCAAAACCAGTTGGGCTGCATTTATTTTAAAGCATTGTGAGAATGGTGCAAAATTTCATTCCAGTGTTCGTAATGGAAATGCGTTTACGATTTCGACACGCATTATGAAACTCAAAAGAACCTGTTCTGTCTGAAAAGAACGATTCGCGGAAATAATCCCATCACTGCTTCCCATCCCGCCCATTAAACTAACTTGATTGTCTGCATAAAATTATTTAGGCGTGAATGAATCAAAGAAATTATACATAATTAGTCTTTACGATCAAATGCGGAAAAACAAAAGGTTCTCTGAGATGCATAATCTGCTGTCAGCTGCCATGAATTGTTTGAATACCCCAGTCACATAAGTACATACAGGTACATCTAAAAAAATTTGAATATCATGAAAAAGGTCGATACTTTTTGTCGCTCATTTCAGAACGTGAAACCCATATATTATATAGATTCATTACAATACTTTTCAGAAGCCTGACATTTCTGTTTAAAATATCCTTTTTTTTTTATTGATCTTATGTAATATTCTAATTTTCTGAGACCCTGAATTTTGGGTTTTCATTATCTGTAAGCCATAATCATCAAAATTTCAAGAAATAAAGGCTTGAAATATTTCACTCTGTGTAATGAATCTATATAATATATGGGTTTCACTTTCTGAAATGAGTGACAAAAATATTGACCTTTTTCATGATATTCTAATTTTTTTAGATGTACCTGTATTTTAATAAGGGGCCTTGAGGGCACATGATTATGTTTTGTAACCATTAAAACGCTCCATTTATGTCAAACACTTCAGTCGAATCAATTAAATAAAATACAAATTTCAACCCGTTACCCATTCAAATAATGTTAACTTAAAAAAAAAAAGTATTTGAATTAATGCACATGATATCATAACAGTAAACAATCTGCTAAAATACAGTTTACATAATTGTTTATAGATTATGTAGATTTGAACTATCTTCAGTAGAGATTTTGATATTGTTTTGCATTTATGGTAATATTTAACCTCACTTTTTTTTTTTTTGTCTAAAATCTCAAAATAGTTTTATGCAGAAATTCAGGTGAAGCATGACAAACTACAGGCTATTGTGTATTAAAAACATAAGGGAGGAGTTCTTTGAAATCCCCCACCCCAACTTTCGTTTCATGTGGTTTTTAACTGTTTCCTGTTGCATGTCATTTGTCTTTTGGTCTTTGTCTTTCTCTGTTTGCAGTTGTTCTCAGTCCCTCGACGAGTGAGAGGAGTGCGGTGTGCACTATGAGTGGGGCGGCGCTGGGAATAGAGATTGTTGTGGTCTTTTTCCTGGCTCTCTTCCTCCTGCATCGCTATGGCGACTTCAGGAAGCAGCAGCGCATGGTTCTCTTTGGCACACTGCTGGCTTGGTATTTATGCTTTCTCATCGTCTTCATTCTTCCCCTGGATGTCAGCACGGTTAGTGTGGCTCCCACTCAATAGAAGTGTCCAGTGCAGTTAATTCCTGATGCAACTCGGCAACTTGTGCAATTGATTTTCAGACAATCTACAAGCAGTGTTTAATTGATCACGAAGCACATGCCCCGACCCCCTCAGTGAGCCCTGTCCTTTCAAACCAGACAACTCCAAATACCTCCATCTCAGCCAGTAAAAAGTAAGCCTATTAATTCACCTGCAGCCCATGTATTCAGTTAGTCCTGTTCTGATTGAGCACAAAACTGTTTGTGAACATATATTCTGTCCCTTTTTCCAAAGCACCCAACGTGTGTGCTATAAACCATGGAGCTACATTCCAGATGGCATCATGCCCGTGTTCTGGAGGGTTGTTTATTGGACATCACAATGTCTTACTTGGTGAGAAAGCTTTGTCCTTTACAAACTTGATAATGGCGTCTTAAATCTTCCTGGTAAATATTTGTCACTGTTACTACACAAATCTGTTGTAGGGCTGCAAGATTAATTGGGGGAAAAACCCTGAAATCGCTACATGGTTTATCAAAATGAGATGTCATAAAGATTACTATTTAATTTAATAAATGTATGCGCTGCTTGTTTCAGAATTAATTGTGGCACTGTGTTCATTTACACATGAGCAGCTCTTACACATGCTCTGAGTTTGGGTCACTTTTATTATGCATTGAGAAAGACAACATGCACCAACCATTTTCTCAAACTGTCAACAGTAAAGAAGCTTTAAGGGCTCCTGGATTTCCAGCAAAATAAAAGCTTGATGTTTTAACGTTTGACAGTCATGAAAATTAGTATTGTAATTTTACATTTGTATGGTAAAATAAAATGATTGTTATTTAAATTCATTTGAAATAACAATAGATTACTAGTGTAATATTTCACTGTAAAATAACAAAAATTATGATTAATAATAGTTTTATTATTTTTCTTATTTTTTTTTTATTTTACAGTGAAATATTACACTAGTAATATTTCTTATTTTGTTTATTTAGTAGTAATACTAATATTTAATAATAATGCCACGGACCCCCAAGTAAAGTGCCCCTTCCAAAATAAAATAATAATATTAAAGCTCATTGTCCTTTATAAAGATCTTTATTTAAACTGAGGATAATAGTAAGTTTGATTAATTTAATAATTAATTTACATTTGGCTGTTTTAAATGTTTATATTGCATTTATATTGTATTAAAGCCAACTTAAATTATTGACATATTTTCAAAATATTAGGAAAATATTACTTGTAATTTTAGAACATGTTCAGTTTATTTCAAATTTATATGTATAGCACTTTTCACAGTAAATATTCTTTTCTCACAAATTTTCTGTGAACCCTTGGTTTAAATAATGCATAAATAACTATGCTGTATTATACCTGTAAGAATAGTGGTTAATAACAGTGTTGATCTTCCAAGGCTCCTTCTGCCATTCATGCAGTCGTATGCTCGTTCTGGAGGATTCTCCATTACTGGAAAGATCAAGACGGCTCTCATTGAGAATGCCATCTATTATGGCACATACCTTTTCATCTTCGGCTCTCTTCTCATCTATGTGGCCGTGCATCCTCAGTGGCACCTCTCCTGGTCTGTAAACCAATCCAGAACATTCTTCCATTGTTGGCTTTCCATACTGACTTTTTTTCTGTATCACTTCACCAGGTATGAGCTGCAAACCATCGGCATCACTGCGGCCAACACTTGGGGTCTGTTTCTTCTAGTGTTGCTGTTGGGCTACGGCCTGGTCGAGATCCCTCGCTCGTACTGGGAGGCATCGTGCCAGGGTCACCTCCTCATCAAGACTTACTTCAAAGCGGCCAAGCTCATGACAGAGAAGGCAGATTCAGAGGAGAACCTAGAAGATGTCATGGAGGTGAAAGCCATGTGTGTTTATACACTGTAAACAAACATCCGTTCACACTATATGAGTCCAGATGAGCTGGTTTTTGAAAGGCAATGCCAGATCTGAGCCCGTTCAGCCAACATTGTGTCTTAGATGTTTGTATTTTTATCACAGGAAGTGAGAAAAATCAATGAATCAATCAAATATAATCATCCATTGAGGAAGAACGTGGACACCATTCTCCGAAAGGTGAGAGGACAACATGATAGCAGTCTTCTGGTGCATTTTTATGTATATATATATGATTTGAAGTAATCATGCCCCTCTTTTTAGTAGAAATCTGCTTATTGTTTTTAGTGTCCAGTTGAATATCAGGAGAAAATGGGCAGGAACATGGACGACTATGAGGATTTTGATGATAAACATAACACACATCCCACTGAAAGAAGCCTTTCAAAACTACACAAGCAGGTACTGCTTAAGTTTTTTTCTGTGTTTTCTGAATTTTGCTCTGGAATAATACTAACAGCTGGTTTCTTAGGTAATCTACGCAGTCCAGCGGCACAATCGCACGCACGTTCAGTGGCAGATATTGCTGGAACAGGCTTTCCATCTTGAGGACGTTGCCAAGAATGAAACCAGCACCTCTCGGCAGTTCGTTCACAGCTTTGCCCCTCCAGAACCTGTCGGCTGGTTCAGACGCTACATTTATACGCCCACAGTAGGTAGGTGCTCTAATAGATGTGGATATGCTATATTTGAAACAAATGTCAGTGTTGATCCTGCCTTTACTGTCTTTTGCTTCCTTCATCAGAGTGGTACTGGGAGTGCTTGCTGAAGCAGTGGTTTTACCGTATACTGTCTGTGCTTCTGTCACTCTTTTCGGTGGCTGTGGTTTGGTCCGAGTGCACTTTCTTCAGTACTCATCCCGTTCTGTCACTCTTTGCTGTGTTTATCCAGCTTGCTGAGAGAGATTACAACTACCTGTACATTGAGGTGAGTCTGTCTGAGTTTAGGGATCTAATCTAGGAAAATCTGTGATTTAAAATATACATGTAAATTATTTGTGGTTCCAGGTCTTTATTGAATCAAATAAGATCCTCAGTTATGATTGTTTTAGAACTTTATACAAACATTATGGGAAAATATTTAAAGTGGCAGCTGACAAAAAGTAAGGATTTAACTTTTTTTTAAAAGGAGACTCTTATGCTCAACAAGGCTGCATTTATTTGATCAAAAATACAGTAAAAAAAAGTTTAAAACTTAAAAAAAATATATATATTATTGTAAAATATTATTACAATTTAAAATAAGTTTTTTTTTTCTATTTTTCTATATTTTATAATTTGTAATTTATTCCTGTGACAGCAAAGCTAAATTATCAGCAGCCATTACTCCAGTCTTCAGTGTAACATGATCCTTCAGAAATCATTATAATTTGGTACTCAAGAAACATTTCTTATTATTATCAGTGTTGAAAACAGTTTTTGTGGAAACTGTGATTTTTCTTTCAGGATTCTTTTTTTGAAATAGAAATATTTTGTAATTATAAAAATATTATTTTCCTTTGAAAAATTTTTAATTCTATTTTTTTTTACATTTATGTATATATATATTTTTGTACACTAAATGTAAACCATTTGAAAATACAATTTGTACTTAAGTTGTATATGGTCATTTTGCTGTTACTCTATCTGTGCACTGGAAACTTCTGTCACAAAGACAGTTTCCTTGTATGTGTAAGCATACTTGGCAATAAAGTTCATTCTGATTCTGATTAAGTCATTTATTTTATTCACTTTGTGTCATTAAGGTTACCGATCCTGCCATAGACTAAAACTAAGCGCCTCCTGACAGTTTGACCTGATTTTGCCTGTTGGCATCAGCTGAAACGCCTTAATATTGTCTTTTTGTCCTATAGATGGCGTGCTTCATTACCATTTTTTTTCTTTGCACCTGCATCTACTCCACTGTGTTTCGCATTCGAGTCTTCAACTACTACTACCTGGCCTCACATCACCAAACCGACGCTTACAGCCTGCAGTTCAGTGGCATGTATGTTTCACAGATAGCAGGATTCAGTGTATTAAACTGAATTGTATTTTCAGTGAACTCTACCCTTAGTTTTTCCTCTGATAAACCACAAAAGCCTATGTGTTGTTTACTAGGCTTTTTTGCCGCTTGACTCCCCCACTTTGTCTAAACTTCCTGGGACTGATTCACATGGATTCTGCCATATCCCACCAAGCAAAGGAGCAGACGGCATACACCTCTGTGAGTCTTTTGGCATTATTTAAAATGTACAGAATTATTTTAATATGCGAGACTCTTATAGTACCGCTGAGCATATGTTTAGAGCAGCAAGGCTTCAATGGTCCAGAGTCCCATTTGGAAATGTCTAATTACTATTAAACATTAAAGGAACCTTCTGTAATGTTGTAGATCATGGGTTCCATGCGGGTCCTGTCCTTCATTGCCAATGGCTTCTACATCTATTACCCCATGCTGATCGTCATTCTCTGCATTGCTACATACTTCAGGTTAGTCTAAAATTTTCTATAAATCATCAGACAGAAGTTTCATGATGGTAGTATGTGTCAAATTTCATGTTGTAGTTTCTGACTGATTTTAAATAATTTCTGTCCAGTCTTGGCACACGCTGCCTGAACCTCCTGGGTTTCCAGCAGTTCATGGGAGATGAGATGACCTCTGACCTCATAGATGAAGGCAGAGAACTTCTGCGCAGAGGTGATTTGTTTATATTTGTAGATTAAAATATGATAACTAGAATATAAAAGTTATATAATTAAATGTACTCACAGGCCCAATTTATACTTGTCTACAAGACTCGTTTTAAAAACAGTTAAGCAAAAACCTTTTTGAGACCATGACAAAAAATTAATGTCAAGCAAATCTTTTTCGTTTGAATGGTAGTATAAAAATAAGGTAAAGCCATCTCCTGTGGTTGCTATGGTTAGATGTGATACAGAAATAAATAGTGATTCAGACAGAAATCACTTTTGCTCATTGCTACAGCTGTACTTTCTGCAGTGGTGAAAACCTCAGTGCGTCAGAGGCGTAGTTACCGCTGACACAAACATAAACATTTAACACAGTCCCATCCGGTATTAAACGAGGACATGTACTTAACTCATTTTGTTGTTGTTGTTTTTTTTCTTGCATAGAAAGAAGAAAACGCCAAAGAATAGAAGATGGGGAGAGCAGACGAAAAGTTGAGTTCTAAATAGTACAGAGTAATATATACATAATTACTCTAATAATACATATTACACACATATATGATTATATGTATATGACAGGAATGGAGAGAGCGTTATGCACAACGAGATGAGATTGCTGGCAGAAACCGGACTTCCATGTCTGAGATGAAGGAAACCAACTACGGCGAAACCCTAAATTCAAACACAAACCGGCGTATGTTTAATGCCCAATAAGACATGTGTCCTGTAGTATTCCTATAGAGTATTTGTTAAGTGAATTTTGTAAAGAAGCAGTCAATTGAATATTAATCCATTCATTTTTATACACAGAGGTCAAGTACACCCCTAGCAGCAGCCAGACAGGGCGAGACAGCATTGAGTTGTTGCAAGATGCTGAGCCGTTGGACTTTAATGCTGAAACACTCACTGATGACCCTTTGCAATCTGAACCTGGCAGGTTAGATTGAGTTTTATTGAGTGCTGCAGTAATGAAATATTTTTGTAGGCCAACACAAAAGTTAGCATCACCCTGGTTCCCTCGACAAATTATTGCAGAAAATCAGCTCTGTGACCAACAAAAGTTGTCTAATCTTATTAGGTACTATAGATTTTATGTCATATAATACAATGATTAAATTACAGGCATTATTACAGGCATTTAAAAAAAAAAAAAAAAAACTGACTTCAGGATGATGAAACCGCAAGAGCAAAAATGCTAACTCGTTTCTGGGTTTTGGCCAACAAAAATACATCTTCCCTGCGTCACTCTATTGTCATGAGTTTTGTTTTTATTTTTTAAGTTTTCCTGCACCTACTGCATGCACTCACTCCTTTGTTTCCTTTCCCCACAGACATGCCGGTGGAAGGTACTTCTCTATGTCTTCTTCTCGAAGCCGAATCTTTGATGATGTTTGATGTTTCTCACTTTGGTCAAAAACACTGTCATGAGAAAATAAGCTGAATTTTACCTCTAAAAACACTCATCTCTACAGGTGTGGTCTGTTCCTCTCATTTTAAACATCTTCGACTTCCTGTATCCTGTAATGCAATGTAGTCATCTGCATGCGTCCTGATAAACACACAGACATATAGATTAATGCACACACTTGTTTTGAAGTGCCAGGCAGTCAGACTGCTACATGAGACAAATGGGAAATGTCTGTTCTGCTCAGTTTCAAGAAATGAGAGCAGTCAGAGTACTCAGTCATGAGAAGTACTACAGACGGGGAAGATTTAGCTCAACACACTGTTTCTCATCATTTACTACTGATAGGTATCAGGTAACGTATCTAAGTGTTTACATCAGTCAAGTAAATATGAACGGACGTCAATGTGGCCAATTTGTGTTGTTATTGTGAATAGAGATTTTATAGGTCTAGATATAGGCTGTCTTACAGAATACTGTGCAGTTTTTTTTGTCCATGTGATTGTTCCGGTATAAAGCTGGAGAGATTGCACAGGATTGAGGGTTCAGAAATCTACAGTTAAAATAACTCCTATTTAACCTTTCAAAGTGTTATGGCTTTCCCGTAGTTCATGTGAGTGGTAAAAATTAAGTTTTATGTGTTCTTTTGTTTTTTCTTAATGTCATATATATGCATAATTTATACTATATTGTTATAATATTACTGTAATATTATAATATGAAAAGTGAAATTCATCTGAACATTCCATCCATGAAACTGTTCTTTTAACTTTTTTAATTAATGAAGGAAATACTAACTTTAAGTCTAATATTTATTTTCACAAACATTTAATTTGGTACGTAAAGCTGTATTATTTATCTTTTGGACACATTCTATGCTTGTTTCACATGGCTGTTACGCTTCAGTTGAATAACTGACCTTGCAAATCATCTCTATAATGAAGTTATATTTGTTACATTATTTTAGCTGTATTCTTGTGGATGAATGTCCGATAGGCCATTTTTGATTTGCACTGGCATGTATGTCACTTTTTCAGAACAGGCAAAACTGTTGAAATAGCTTTAAGGACACATTCTGTTGTGTCAAGTTAAATGGATTATAAGTAGACCTACTTATGTGCTGGTTTTCCAGACTTATAAGCACCCCTTTATCACAAGCGCAGTTTTCTTATAGAAAACGGTCATTAAACGAATGTCTTGAAGGAATCTGGTTAACATAACAAGCTTATAAAACAGGACTAGTGAATGCATGGCAAGATGTGAGTGAATCACTGTTTTTAATACATAAAATTCTCATTGTACACAGTCATCAAGCATATCCGATGTAAGTTTTTGCATGGTGTTCTATTGAATATGCTGAGGATTGAGTAATGTATTTTTCACTACAAACAGTATGTCTATTTCTCTCCACAAATGCTAAGCATCATGGTTTCATCTTGAATTAATGTATTTTCATAGAAAATTTTGCCTTTCAAGTTTAAATAGGAAGGGCCTTGTTTTTTTGTTCATACCTTTTGCTTTGCTGATAGTTATTCATATTTACTGTGTTTTTAAGGAGATATGAATTTACTTGCCAATGAGGTGTAATCTTTTTGATATGGTCAGTCCTCAATTAGTATATTGATAAAGGCCAACTGGAATCTAATGCTGGAATCTGTTGATTTGTATATTTGGTGTAAGTGGATTGTGGCACATTCCAAATAGACTTAATATGTAATCTTGCAATTATTAATAAATGATTGATGAAAACATATTTGCTTCTGTTTGCTAATATTTTGTATTAAAAGTTTATATCGATGTTTTCATTCCATATCAGGATCTTTCTGTAATAAAATCTTGTTTCCACACAGTCTCCAAACGTGAAGGTACTTACACAAACAACTTACACAAACAAGACTCTTGAACAATTGAGATAACTGCAGTATTCATGTTGTCACAGTTGTTTTTTTTATATTCAAAATTCGGTTTCGCATTGTTTTTGTACCGTTTGACTGTTAAACCAGTAAACCTGAACAACAACAGCGGAAGGTCAACATCGCGTTCTAATCGCTTCATCAAATACCTGAAGCGAGAATGACCAATCAAATACAAGAACTCGTCTCTATGGAAACACTGCACGCTAAAACAGGAAAGGCCAAACAACGCTAAGGAAATCCGGGTGGTTTTAACACATCAGTCACCGTTTCGTTTATGGCAAGCCGTTTTAGCTTAAAATATTCTAAGCGTTACTCGTCGTAATTGCATTTTTACTAGTAACAATTATGATTATAGAGCTCTCTAATAGAGAATGAGGAGTTACGTCACAATCTTTTCACTCCGCATTACATATTATGCTTTATTAGTAAGATGTGTGTACAGAATGTGGTCTTTAAATATCACTGTCTCGGTGCATTAAGCGCGTTCTTTAAATGAGAGGAAAATGCTTAACGTGTAAATAAACGCATTGCGTTCACATTTGGATCTTATATGCATATCTGCACATAGTATATGCTTTACAATTTGATTAGCGTGAAAACAGTATCGCCCGCTGGACGCTCGCTGCTGCTTCAGTCATCATATGGTACATTATCCAAATAAAAGTGTGTTTTCAACAAGCTGACAGAAGTCGATCCATTTTTATCTGCACATAGTATATGCTTTACAATTTTGTCTTTATCACTGTCTTGGTACATTAAGCAACTTTAAGCATTTTAGAAAGTCCCCTGTTCAAGTTCTGCTAATTCAGCCTAGAGAGAGTGAGAGTCGTGCACGCCCTCTAATTCAATTAGAGAGCTCTATAATCATAATTGTTACTAGTAATAATTCAATTGTAGAGCTCTCTAATTGTAATACTTACTAGTAACATGTCAATTGTAGAGCTCTGTAATTAAAAATTAATGGAAGTCAATGGAAACATATGACTAGTAAAAATTCATTTATAGAGCTCTCTAATTTAAATTGTTACTAGTAAGAACTGAATTAGAGAGCTCTGTAATTGGAATTCTTACTAGTAATAATTGAATTGTAGAGCTCTCTAATTGAATTGTTACTAGTAAAAATGCAATTACGACGAGTAACACTGGGATTATTATAAACTAAAACGGCTTGCCATATTCGTTTCACTTCTCCACGTGAGTATGCAGCGAATAGATTATTAAAGATAAATAAAGCCTTTATATTATGGTGTCATGTGCTGTTTGCTGAATTACAGTAGTTTAAGAGCATGTTATTTCCTTAGTCCACGATTAGAATTCCTCAGTCACAGCTCATAGCTAATAACTGTGTATTAAGGTTGAATTACTGTGATATTATTATAATTACAATGCATGCAATTTTATGGGCTCATAGTCAGAGACTACATGGAATAATTTTAGTTTTAAACATTAATTTGTCACACCGCATCTTATAAGGAATGGCAACCAATTACAGGACCTAAGATATACACTTTCATTTTTTTTTTATACAAATTCCACGAACACATTATGCATCAACCACATAACAGAGGGGTTCGTAGCCATTCCAAAAGGAAGGGTGATTCCATACAGTAGAAGAACCATTTTTGTTTCCCTAAAGAACCTTTCAGTTTTTAAAAGAGCCATTTTTAGTGTGCAATGGAAAGAAACTTTTGTGCAATGGAAAAGTTCCATGGATGTTAAACGTTCTTCATGGAACCACGGATGCCAATAAAGAACCTTTATTTTTAAGAGTGTAGCCAACTAAACATATAAACGCCTAAAAATCACTCTTGTCACCTTCAGATCAGATAGGCAGGGCCGTCGCTAGTGGGGTGAAAGATGGTGACGATTATAGGGGCCCACGGCGATCACAACCGACTGGCTGAGGCCAGCCTAAAAAAGACGCTCAGGACAATTGACGGGCCACTGCTGCGCGTCGTGGCGAAAGCTTATCATTTGCACGTGTTTTTAAGCCTTGCCAGTTTAAACATTCAAAAGAGTTTAAAGCATTCAAACACAAGACGCGGAAAAGCTCAACTGAGTTCACACGCGCCGTGTTCGGTGCACACGCAGAGAGCCGCGTCTCACACTCACAGCAACACCGAACCGAGCTCTCCTTCGCGAAGTTCGCGTCCTCCTGCACCTGAACGAACAAATACAATTTGCAGTTTAAACAAACAGAAAAAGATGTGAGCCCAATTCAGCATCCGCGGTGTTCTGGTGTTTAGGGCGCACGCAGAGAGACACGTTTCAAAGCGCTTAAACACCGAATTTGCCTCTTCTTGCTCTTGTACCGATAAATGCATACAAAATTATGTCAAAATACCCGTCTTGGAAAGTATGTTCGAAAAAACCATGCCTAATTTACTAGCTGCTGTCGGTGTCCTTAATATGTGAATCCAAGAAAATAAAAGAACGAAAATCACTCACTGCTCTTGACTGAATTACTTTGTAGTTTTAACAAGAATTAATCCACAGTCAAACCAAACATTATTCAGACACCAGATATATATTTTTATATTTTTTTTACTAGTGGGTGCAGGACACTAGGCCTATAGTTCATTTATGTGAGTATAGCAAAATAAAGTAAACTGTGACATATTATACCCAAAAATTCTTCATACAGTGGTCTACCAGTGAAATTTATTAAAAAATAAATAAATAAATAAAGCAGCTGGCGAATTCAGACCCCACTGAGCGTCTGAGGCGGCATTATTTGGCATGAGGGTCCGCAGGAATCAAGGGACTGGGCAGGTACAGTATGCATAATGCGTGTTTCTTCATATAGACTGAAGTGCAGATATTTGACTGCAGTCTGATTTTCTCAGGACTTTTAGGATCATGGATGATGACAATAGTCGCACACTGGACATGAAAGAGTTCCTGAAAGGCCTGAGTGACTACGGTGTGCTCATCGAGAAAGAAGAGGCCATGAACCTTTTTCAGCGCTTTGACAAGGACGGCAGTGGATTGATTTTGATGAGTTTCTTATCACTCTGAGGGTAAACACACAATGGTGATGTATTCTTTTTTTAGACCAGTTTAGGCCAGTTGTGCTCGTGTTATTATTTTCATTCATGTGACTGCAGCCACCCATGTCTAATGCCAGAAAGGAGGTGGTGCTACAGGCATTCAAAAAGCTGGATAAGACCGGAGATGGTGTGATTACAATTGAGGATCTAAGAGGAGTATACAATGTCAAAAATCACCCTAAATACCGAAACGGTGAGTGGACCGAAGACCAAGAATTCCACAAATTCCTGGATAGTTTTGACTCTCCGGATGACAAGGATGGGAAGGTATGAAGATGCTGAATACCTCTCATTGAAAACACAGTATCAAGCATAATAGTGTATTAATAGTACACAGACTGTCTTTAGAATAAGTTCTTTGGTTTTAAGCATTCACAATCACACAAAGTTCCCCAAATGGCGTCATTACAAGTCATTTTCTGAAGTATTCTCTTTGATCATGCTGTCTTCACACATCAGGTCACAAAAGGAGTTTTTGAACTACTACTCCGGCGTGAGCGCATCCATTGACACAGATATCTACTTTATTGTAATGATGAAAAATGCATGGAAGCTTGACTAAACTTCTAAAACATCTATTTTTGGGTAAAGACGCTCAACTTTCAGCAAAAGTATGTCTTGACCCTGTTAATCATTTCATAATATATTTTATTTCATTATAAACTTTCATATATATATA